TGGCTATGACAGGTGAAAGCAAAGGGCCACAGATAAGAAGTGCATAGCCTGAGGGAGGGTTGGTTACCAAAAGGCAGGTCCGGAGATGTGCACATGCTTTGGGGAAAGAGTTGTAGAAAGACAAAGGCTGGCGAGTCTAGACAGAGGGTGAGTACATTATGGAGAGAGACCTCTGAGAGGGTAGGAAAAGGTGGGACTGAGAAGGCAAGCAAAGGCATCCACTCAATTGGAAAAAGAACATGTCTTCTGCTTAGAGCAGGGAGCAACATGGTAGACAGAAAAAAAACTGAAGAGAGCAGAAAGTTGGGCAAATTCCAAAATTGAAATCTATGCCTTTGTCCCCTTCATAGCCACTAGCCCAAATGGGCATGTCCTGTGCTCTAGGTAAAGAGAGTAGTGCCTAACGACTTAAAAAGGTGTTATATCAGGTAGGATATTTGCCTCCACAAATAACTGAAAGCCCAACATTAAGGATTTATTGTTTAACTGTATTGGCTTAAAGAATAAAGGTGACTTAATTTGTTCATTCAACTGAAAAGTCCAGAGATTCATGGTGATCAGTTGTATTAGCTGCCTTTCTCAGAGTTGTTCAGATCTGTTTGCCTCCAGGTTGTGGCTTCATTTTAAATGTGGCAGTGACATAGTAGAGGAGTTCTGGGTCTCATCACCATACGTGAAAACCTTCAGGACCAAGAAAATGTTTCTTTAGAGTATGTAAGCTTCTGGTGCAAAACAGCCCAACAGACCTCCCCTTACATCTCATTAGCCCAAACTGCTTTCCTGTTCATGAATCTTTCCACATGGCAGGGAAATCCCCTTGAAGGGACAGCTCACCAATTGCTGGGTAGGTTCCTGAATCCATCATTGACAGGAGGTGCGGTATTTAGTGTGAACTGGCCATTCTCAGGCTGAGCACTGCCATACAAGTGTGTGCTGGGCATTTTGAGTTGTTAGAATGATGGCAAGTGGAGGTCAGGGATGCTAAACATCCTAAGATGCATCTGAGAGCCCTGCAGAGCAAAGAACTAGTCAGCCCCAAGTGCCGATTGCACCTGATGCGAAAAGAATACTACTGGAGGGCCAGACATGGTGGCTCACACCTATAATCCCAGCACTTTGGGAGGCTAAGGCAGGCAGATTGCTTGAGCTCAGGAGTTTGACATTAGCCTGGGCAACATGGTTAAACCCCGTCTCTACAAAAACTTCCAAAGTTAGCCGAGCATAGTGGCATGCACCTGTAGTCTCAGCTATTTGGGAGGCTGAGGCACGAGAATTGCTTGACCTGGGAGGCTTAGATCATGCTACTGCACTCCAGCCTGGGCAACAGAGAGAGGAGTGTCTAAAAAAAAAATACTGTGTAGGCAAGAGACCCACACTTGTAGCTCACTGGCTGGGTGGTAGGATATGGGTGTTGAAAAACGTCTGGAAGAAAGGAGGAAGCTGCAGCAGGGAAGGCAACCCACGACGGCTACTATAGATGCAGATTTTGGAGGCAGAGAGCCTGGGATTTAAAACTTGGCTCTACTACTTTTAAGCTGTGTGATCAAGCTAATAAAACGTTAAAAGCCTTACTTTCTTTAATAAGTAGAAAAGGAAAAATAATACCTGCTCTTAAGATTACTGAGATTAATGATAGAATGTATGAGTCTGTCAAACACCCTGGTCCGCAGAAGGGGCTCAATGTCTGGTTTCCTTTGTTCTTGCTAGGATGTGCATTAGTTTACAGGGTAGCCACTTGATAGCATCTGAAGGGATCAGTACCTGGCTATTTCCAACAAATGTGTTTTGAGGTGCTAATATCTTCTAAAGAGGGTGTGAGCCATCGTTTAAACCATTAGATCAGGAACATTGCAGATGGTCCCAGCACAATGTGTATATGTCACAGATGGCTCTAATGGCAAGTCTCTATTAATAAGCAAGAGTAGACATATCAGTTTTAGCTCTGGGTTTTTCTTTCCTTCTTAACTATACTGTTGCTGTATAAAATAAATGTATGCACACATTTGCTTCTCTCCTCCCCCCTCCATATATATTTTAATGTATATATATAGTACATACTTTTAATATGTATATATTAACAAAAAATATATATATTTTTCTTATATAGATGGAGACTCGTTATCTTACTGGTCTCAAACTCCTGGGCTCAAGTGATCCTCCTGCCTTGGCCTCCTTCCTAAAGTGCTTACAGGTATAAGCCATCATGTTCAACTTGTTTTATGATTAGGCAAAGATGCACAAGAAAATAATCTCCATTCTGTTTTTCAGGCCAAGTGCAGTGGCTCACACCGTCACTTTGGGAGGCCAAGGGAGGTGGATTGCTTGAGGTCAGGAGTTCAAGACCAGCCTGACTAACACGGTGAAACCCTGTCTCTACTAAAAATACAAAAATTAGCTGGGCATGGTGGTTGGTGTCTGTAATCTCAGTCACTCAAGAGGCTGAGGCAGGAGTATCACTTGAACCCAGGAGGCGGAGGTTTTAGTGAGCCAAGATCCTGCCACTACACTCCAACCTGGGTGATAGAGCGAGACTCCGTCTCAAACAAACAAAAAGAAAACGAATAATCTCCATTCTCTTTTTTGCTGCATCAGCTTCCCTTCAAACACAGGCCATTATGGACACTGGTCTCTGTTTGGAGGTTAACTTATATATTTTTTTCTTCCAGATTCTATGTAAATTATTGATTCCTCTGGAAAAGCCTCCTCAATTTTCCGGATTAGGTAGGTCTTTTGTTTTTGTTCTCATAGTCTTGTGTTTTTGTTGTTTATTGCTACGTTACAAATCGCTGCAAAATCCAGTGGTTTAAATACTAACAGGGTATCATTTCTCATAATTCTTTTGGTTGGTTGATATATTAGTCTGTCTCACACTGCTATAAAGAACTACCTGATACTGGGTAATTTGTAAAGAAAAGAGGTTTAATTGGCTCACATTTCCACAAGCTGTACAGGAAGCATGGATGGGGAGGCGCCAGGAAACTTACAGTCATGGCAGAGGTGAAGGGGAAGCAGGAACAATCTTCACCTTGTGGAGCAGGATAGAGAGAGTGTAACAACTGGATCTCGTGAGAACTCATTATTATGAGAACAGCAAGGGGGAAATTCGCCCTTGTGATCCAATCATACCCCACCAGGTCCCTTCCCCAACATTGGAGATCTCAGATTGGCAGATTTGGGTCGGGACACAGTGTCAAACCGTATCAGTTAATCAGGTGGTTCTGGTTCACGGGGTGTTGTGTCAGTTGGGGTGCTGAGATAGCTGCAAGGTCACAAGTCTGGTATATCAAGCTGGCCACCTACTGGGAGCTCAGTGGGGGTTTTTGGCTAGGCTCCTTGGTTAACTCTTATGTGGACCTCTTATGTGGCTGCTTGGGCTTCCTCCCCAGGCTGGCAACTGGATTCTAAGAAAGTGCATTACAAGAGGCTTAATCCTATGTGCAAGTTCATCAAACTTCTGCTTACACTATGTTTGGAATGTCCCAATGGTGAAAGTTAATTGTATGGCCAAACCCAGTGTCAACATGAAAGGAGATTACTCGAGGGCAAAATACCTGAAGGCATGATTCACTGAGGCCACCAAAGTCTATCACATCTAGTGAATCTTTCCTTTATAAGACTCAACATTGTTTCCAATTATGTATTTTTTTGTGTTATTTACTATCGCTATCTCTTAGTAGGCACTAAAATCCATGAAAACAGAGACCTTTTTGTATTTTGTTAAGCATTGTGGAATGGAACCTAAAATGCAATTGAAAAGTTCCGAAGAGACCCAAGTGGCTGAGAAACTAACAATAGACACCATCATGCAGGGCTTGCAATAGGAATTGTTCAAAACTGGTCTGTCCAGGGTTGGCTGATTCACACTATTTTGGAGAGAGTCTCACCTCAAGTCAAGTAAGAGGATTTAAAAATGACTTGGAAAACTTAACATATGGCTATTGGATTTGGGGACACTATCCAGGGAGAAGAACCAGAGATTGGGGTCAGTCATATGGCCAAGGGTTTAATCAATCATGCCTTCATAATGAGACCTCAATAAAAGCTCTGGACACCTAGGTTTGGAGGAGCTTCCCGGCTGGTGAATACAGTGAAGTGCTGGGAGGGTGATGCTCCCTGACTCCTCCAGGGAAGGGCAGTGAAGCTCTGTGTTCCCTCCCAGACCTTGGCCTATGTAATCTTTTAGTTTTTAAATTTTTCACTGTTTTTTAATATCTTGATACCTATGTGTATTCTTCACAATAAAACTATTATTTCATATATAGCATGTTTCTGAGTTCTGTGAGTCATTCTGGTGAATTATCAAACCTGAAATGGTTGTGGGAACTCTCAAATTTGCATCCAGTTAGAGTATGAGTGGCCTGGGATCCCCTGAAGCTTATAGCTGGTGTCTGAAGTGCGAGCTGTCTTGTGAAGGACAAAGTCCTTGACTTGTGGAGTCTGTGCCAGCTCTGGTTGGTTAGTGTCCGAAACGAATTGCAGTACACTCAGTCACTCTGTTCGTGTTGTTACACTAAGTTGGCAATGAAATGAAACGCTGTATAATTAGCCATCCAAATATTTAGTTGTTTAAAATAATTTAAAAATTGGGCTGGGTGCAGTGGCTCACACCTGTAATCCTGGCACTTTAGGAGGCTGAGCAGATCACTTGAGGTCAGGAGTTCAAGACCAGCCTAGCCAACATGGTGAAACCCCATCTCTACTAAAAATGCAAAAATTAGCCAAGCATGGTGGTGCATGCTTGTAGTCCCAGCTACTCAGGAGACTGAGGCTGGAATCGCTTGAACCTGGGAGGTGGAGGTTATAGTGAGCCCAGATCATGCCACTGTACTCTAGCCTGAGCAACAGAGTGAGACTCCATCTCAAAAAGCAAACAAACAAAAGCAAGTGAACACAAAATTGATTTCTTATAGTTCTGTAGGTTGCTTGGGCTCAGGTGATTGCCCTTCACTTTGAGCTCTGCTTTGCAGATGTGAGAAAGCAGGTGAGGCCTGGGCAAACGGTGCCTGGGCAGGGTTGGCTAGAGCAGCCTGGGATGGCTGGGCGTCTTTCTCTCTTCATAGTAAACCTGACTTTTCTCACAGCAGGGTGATTTTAGTGCAGTCAGACTTCTTGTATGGTGGCTGACTTCTCCATGATTGAGTGTTCCAAGAGATAGGAAGTGGAAGCTGCTATTCCTTCGACAACCAGTCCTGAAAATGAATACAGCTTTACTTCCTGGCAGGCTATTGGGTAAAACAGTCACAAAACCCACCCAGACTTAAGAGGATGGGACATACAACCCCACTTCTTGATGGAAGGAATATCAGATAATTTATGGCCATATTTAATCTGCTTCATGTTCTTTTTGGCGTTTGATAATGTTTACCACAAATGATAATGACTTTATGTAGCCTTATTTTTCTTTTATCTCAGACTATTCTTCATTGATCTTCAAATCTGTGATTTCCTTCACTACTTAAACATCCCCTTCCTTTTTCTCTCTCATTACTCATTTACACTCAAAATCATAACCACCCATATGATGCCAATCACTACCTTTAGGCTAATGATCTCCTAGATCTCTAAAGATAGTTTCTCTTGTCTTCTGACCCACATAGCGAAGAACCTTTACAATATCTATTGACAGCATCTGAGCAGGCTTTGTGCTTTTTAAAGACAAAACTTGAAGGTGTCAAGATCTTCCTTGTATTGTTGACCTAGGAGTGACCTGCTTCCATTCGACTCTGCCCACATTCATGGCAACCTGCACATTTCCAGGATGACCTAGGTCATATAACCCAAAAATTCCATTCAAGAGTGGTAAGAAGGCTAATTGGCTATGTGAACAAGAATGATTTATGTGAACATTTAAAAAATACTTACTGCGTGATCTTCATTTAGTGATTTCCAGGTCACTCAGCTATAAGAAGCACAGACATGGTTTGTATATTTCTATTAATTATACCTTATCATAATTGCACTTTTGTAGTTAAGAAATGAACATCTCAATCAGCCAATTCATGATCCACAGCATTCATTTCTATTAAGAAAAAGTACAGTTGGATCCTTTCTCACAAAGTATACAGACGTGATATTCTATAGTAAAAACAAACTGGTAGTTGTCCCTGAAAACATACTTAAAAAGGGATATAAATTTGAAAGACTCACTCGGTTAAAAAAAAAAGAAACAGACTATTGATATGGTTTGGCTCATGTCCACACACAAATCTCATGTCAAATTGCAATTCCCAATGTTGCACGGAGGGGATGGGGGATCTGGTGGGAAGTGATTAGATCATGGGGCAGATACCCTCTTTGCTGTTCTAGTGATAGTGAGTGAGTTCTCATGATATCTGGTTGTTTAAGAGTGTGTAGTACTTCTCCCTTCACTCTCTTTCTCCTGCCCACCATATGAAGATGTGCCTGCTTCCTTTTTGCCTTCCACCATTATTGTAAGTTTCCTGAGGCCTCTCCAGCCATGCTTCCTGTATAGCCTATGGAACTGTGAGTCAATTAAACCTCTTTTCTTTATGAATTACCCAGATGCTGCTATTTCTTTATAGCACTGTCAGAATGGACTCATAAAACTATGAACATTGTTTAAGTCATATCACTGGTTATTTCCAAGGTACAAGGACTTATGTTCTGGAATGGAGCAACAATGTAGTCTCTTTCCTATAATTGCACTGGACTTTGGACTAATTTCATAATCAGTCTATTCTACAAGTATTTGAGTTTATCGATGTATCATAGTTTGGCACCCCAAGTCTGATGCCATCTTCAGTGAAATTCAACAAACAGTGATAAGGCACTGTGTTCAGTGCTGTGGAGGACAGAAAGATGCCTAAGGGGTTCAGGTTAGTGGCAGAGAGAGAGGAGTGACAGGTAACTAGAAGATTGAAGCTAGACGTGAGTACCAAGGAGGTATGGGCAGTGTTGTAGAGTACAGGGGAATTGACTATTGCTTCTCATTTGAAGGGAGGGAGGGATGGGGAAAACATTCCAGACTGGTAGGGGAACAGAGGGGAGAAGGCATGGAGCGGGAGAGTTCAGGCTGTGATTGGGAATAGGGAGTGAACCCCTGGCTTGAGCACAGGAGTATCCAGGGGTGACCACCAAGGAGAAAGACTGAATAAAAAAGTGGGATGGGATCATGGAAAGCTCTTTCAGAAAGAGATGAGTCATCCAGGCTTTGGAGCATAATTGGTACTTGCTCTCAGTGCTGTTCCATGACTGTATCTCTCAAGGAGTACCATGTCATGAACTCTTGATTGCATGGGTGTCTTGTCTCACTCTTCCCTTTAAAATAAAAAACAAACAAAAAATCTGTCTTTGACTGAATCCCCTTCTAGTAAGTGTTTCCTAAATAGGCAAGCCAATCAGAAGAGGGTGGAATCCCTGTCTCTAATTTCTCCATTTATAATGCATTCTTTAAAAACCCTCAACTCCACCTCTATCAACAAAAACCTACTTTAAAAAAAAATTACACAAGATACATATTTATTAAAGAAAAAATTTTAAAATATCCATGAGCAAAAGTATAATGTTAAAATTCATCTGTCATCCAATGCCTCAAAAGTAATTATAGGTGAAATTTGTTGGTTTTCTGTTCTTTTCTCTGTAAATGTATTCATGTATTATCTATCTGAGCATACAAAGCTGGATTTATGAAAATGAATACTGATCAATACTATATACTTGCTTTACTTATCAATACTATATGACTACTATTCCATGTCTTTAAATGCTTTTCTACAACTTCTATTTTTTTGTTTTGTTTTGTTTTTTGGAGACAGAGTCTTGCTCTGTCTCCCAAATGGAGTGCAGTGGTGTGATCTCTGCTCACTGTAACCTCTGCCTCCTGGGCTCAAGTGACTCTTGTGCTGCAGCTTCCCAAGTAGCTGGGATTACAAGTGTGCAGCATCATGACTGACTAATTTTTGTCTTTTTAGTAGAGATGGCACTTCGCCATGTTGGCCAGGCTGGTCTTGAACTCCCGGCCTCAAGTAATCCACCCACCTTGGCCTCCAAAAGTTCTGGGATTATAGGCATGAGCCATCCCATCCAGCTCTACAATTATGTTTTGTTTTAAAGAAATGGGATCTTGCCATGTTGCCCAAGCTAGAGTGCAATGGCTATTCACAGACATAATCTTTTTTTTTTTTTTAGTGAATGAGAAGTTCTTATGTTGCTCATGCTGACCTCGAACCTGTAGCCTCACCTCCTTACACACCAGGACAACTGCCTGAGCCACCGTGGCTTCCTCACAGACACAATCTTAATGCACTATAGCCTTGAACTCTTGGGCTCAAACAATCCTCCTGCTTCAGCCTCCCAAGTAGCTATGAATAGAGAGGCATGAGCTACCACTCCAGGACAACTTGAATTTTTTTAAGGCCAGATTTATTAAGGTATAATTTATATACATTAAAACTCACCATTTTAAAGCACTCAGTTTGGTGATTTTGACAAATACATACAGTCATGTAAGCACCACAAAAACCAAGTTACAGGACATTTCTGTCATCCCCAACTTCCCTTTTTCTCTCCAGCCCCTTGAAACTATGAATATAATTTTCTATCCTAGTTTTATCTTTTTCAGAATGTTGTAGAAATGGAATCATACAGTATGTAGCTGTGTGTGTGTGTGTATGTGTGTGTGTGTGTGTGAGAGAGACTTTTCACTTAAAATTGGGCTTTTGTGATACATTCATGTTGTTTAATGTACTAGTAGTTCATTTCTACTCATTGATGGGTAGTGTTTCATTTTGTGGATGTACCACAGGTGGTTTATCCATTCACCAGTAGATAGATATTTGAGTTGTTTCTGGTTTTTGGCAATCATTAGTAAAGCTGCTATAAACATTCGTGTGCAGGTCTTTGTGTTGACCTACATTTTCATTTATCTTGGATAAATTCCTAGGAGTGAGGTTGCTGGGTCCTATACTAAGAACATGTTTAGCTGTAAAAGGCTGCCGACTGTTCTGTGGTGGGCAGATCTATGCAAACGTACCCCGAAGTCCAAAAAAGAGGCTGACAAATCCAGTTTTTTAGAAAGAAACATTTAATAGGGACTTACAAGCAGAAGCCTGTGCTGCGTTTGGGGCAGCAGAGAGAGAGAAGGTGGATCCTGGTACTATTATACCCAAGACCCAGGGCTTATGTACCATAGAAGGGGAAGGTTCAGAAGGCATGTATAAGACAATTGAGGTATGATAACATCAAGGTTGTTTGACCTAAGGACAGGGTTTACAGTGAGTACCTGCTCTTACAGGAAGAACAATAGATAAGCTGGCAAACTTAGTGGCCTTTTCAGACGGGGTTAATCAGAAGCCAACATGGTGGATTAACTTTCAAGATGGAGTTGCTTTGGCCTGCACACAAATTGTTTTCCGAAGTGCTGCTGCCATGTTTTGTTCCTACCAGTAATGTAGGAAAGCTCTAGTTGCTCCACATCTTCAGCAGAATTTAAACAAAATTAGCCATTCTAGGCCGGGCACGGTGGCTCACACCTGTAATACCAGTACTTTGAGAGGCCAAGGCAGGCAGATCATTTGAGGTCAGGAGTTTGAAAACAGCCCGGCCAACATGGTGAAACCTTGTCTTTACGAAAAATACAAAAAGTAGACGGGGGTGGTGGCACGCACCTATAATCCCAGCTACTCAGGAAACTGAGGCAGGAGAATTGCTTGAATCTGGGAGACTGAGGTTACAGTGAGCAGAGATCATGCCGCTACACTCCAGACTGGGCAACAGAGTGAGATTCCATCTCAAAAAAAAAAAATTAGCCATTCTAGTGTATGCGAAGTGCTATCTCATGGTGGTTGTAATTTGCATCTCCTTATGCCATTAACATCTTTTCTGTGATAAAAATGCCTGTTCAAATCTTTTGTCATTTTTTGGGGGGAAGGGAGTTATTTGTCCTATTAGTAAATGCAACCTTATTTTTATAATTATATAAACAGACTCAGGGATAATGAGATTTGGAGAGCCTATCTCTCAGATTTGAGAGCCTAACACTTATACAATTGGGGAAGCTCTCTTTAGAAAAAGACTATAGAATTATTTATACAAATAAATAAATAATTTATTTAATAATTTGTTTTTATAAATAAATCTCTCTTGGTATGCACTTATTTTGTTTTGTTTTAGAGATCTTGTATTGCTATATTGCCCAGACTGTACTTGAACTCCTAGGACCAAGGGATCCTGCCATCTCAGATTCCCAAGTAACTGGGATTGCAGACATGAGCCATCGTGCCTGGCTCTCTCCCAGTGTACTGAAGGGCTCCATGCAAGTGAGGAGCCCAAAGCTTAATTTCCATTAGCTTCATGGTAAATCTGCCCCAGAGAGAACATAATTGGTTTACCTAACATCCTGTTTTTGTACACGGAAGTTGATTCTTTTTTTCTCTTTTTTAAAACTTTTTTATTTTGAGTTGCTTAACCATTAAAACCCATATTCTGATGAATAGCTTGTAACTAAATCTTGACATAGATAAATACTCACTTCCTTGAGATAATTTTCTAGTAGTAGAATAGCTGGGTCAAATGATAGGATCATATTAAAAACTTCTGCCACAAAAATTCATATAATTTACAATTCTTCTAACAGTATCTGAGTATCCCTTTCACACTCACCAATTCTGATCATAGTCTTTACTTTGTTTTCTAATGAGTCCATCTCCATTTGACTTGACTCAAGTTTCTACCTCCACTATGTCACTGAAACTGCGTGGTACATTACCGAAGACCAAAGACCAAATCCAGTGAGTTCTTTTCACTTTTCATCTTCTCATTTCTGCGTCATTTCATATTGCTGACCATTGTAGCATTCCGGGGGAAAGAGCAGGTGTGACATCTGCGGTTCTTCTGGAGCCTCTGGGGTCACCCTCCTTGCCCTGCTGACCTGGCCCTCTCTTGCATTGCCTCCCCCTAAGAACCATAATCCTAGGGTTCTTCCTGGACTCTTTTTTTCCTTTTCCTTCCCTTCCTACCTACCTACCTGTGCTGGCTAATTTTATATATCAGTTTGACCAGTCTGTGTCACTGCTCTACTTTAAGGTAATGCTTGCCTTTCCCTATGCAGGCTGTGGCCATCCCAAGCTGCGCATCAGGCTATTTTTTGCACATTGATGGTACTGTTAAATTGAATGTCATGGCCCTTGTGAAAGGATGACATGCACGTTCATAAAGTGTTCCACATTTATAAATAACATTTTTGAATTAAAATTATTTTTAAAAATAAACTGAATGTGTTCTCTGCTATTTTCACCCAAAACATCCATCCAGTGACCATTTACTCATCTTTCAAGACTCAGAAGCCAGCTCTGGTACCAAGCCTTTTCTGATCTCCCAGGTAAAATCAATATTTCTCGTACTAACTTTTTTGTTTGTTTGTTTTTTAGAGACAGGGTCTTACTCTGTTATCCAGGCTGGAGAGAGTAGCACAATCATAGTTCACTGCAGCCTTGTATTTCTGGGCTCAAGTGATCCTCCCACCTCAGCCTCCTAAGTATCTAGGACTACAGGCGTGTCACTACATCTGGCTAATTTAAAAATTTTTATTTTTTAAAAAGACCAGTGTGGTAGTATAATTTCTTTAAATTTATTATAGAGATAGGGTTTTGCTATGTTGCCTAGGCTGGCCTTGAACTCCTGGCCTCCAGCAATTCTCCTTCCTTGGCCTCCCAAAGTGCTGAGATTATAGTTGTGAGCCACCAAGCCCAGCCCCCAGACTCACTTTGAACATAGCATCTGAAACACTTTATTGCACTTATTTATTTACATATGTGGCATCTAAATAAACAGCAAACAATTCCTGATTAGACTGGGAATTAATTTTCACTTTCATATCCTGAGTACCCAGCATAGAGTCTGACTCAATACAGATGTGTATTCGTGCTTGATGAATAAGCAAATGAATTAATTATTGTGGAAACAGCATTGTTCTAGGAATTCAATTACACAAGCCCACCCCTGGATCAACCTATTTACTTGATAATTTACTTGCTCTGTAGGTAGCCTTGAGATTCACTGGAAAGGAGCTGGTAAAAACATGAGCAAGTGACAGAATCTGTGACAGTCACGTGGGCAGAATGTATTGAGACTGTCACGTGCGTCTCCAAAAATAATTTGTTTTCAATATTCATCTTATGACAAGTAATCCACATTGTGTTGATGTCAAAAGGTTTGGATTCCTAAAAGAGCTGAGACTAAGAATAATTCATGTCGCAAAAGTAATACACATCTTGCTGCTGATCTGTAGAGACTGAAAGCAGAAACCATGTATAAACAGAAGTCAGGGAGGCTGGACACAGTGGCTCATGCCTGTAATCCTGTTAGCAGTGGCGAATTTGTGTGGGTCTGCAGCAACTCAATTCTTACCTCCTAAAAGGAAAACATTCAGGGGATATAAGGCAGAGGCAGAGACTGAGACAAGCTTTAGAGCAGGAGTGAAAGTGTAATGAAAAGTTTTACAGCAGGAACAAAAGGAAGTAAAGTACTCTTGGAAGAGGGCCAGGTGGGCAACTTGAGAGATCCGAGTGCGTCGTCTGGACCCTTGATTTTTGGTTGTAAACATTGGCATGGGCATGGTTCTAGGGTTCTGTGTCTCCCCTCCCTTGATTTTTCCTTGGGGTGCGTTGTCTGCATGTGCAGTGGCCTGCCAGCCTTTGAGAGGGGCCACATGCGCAGTGTGTTTACTGAAGTTGTGTACATGTTCATTTGTGGCGTTTTTCCTTCACCAGTTGAGTGTTTCTAGATATACCAGTTAGACTCCTCCATTTTGCTTTTTGGCATGCATGCTTGAGCCCACTTGCCTAACTCCTGAGATCTTATTGGGAAGCTGCTGATAACCAGCTTCAGGGGGTTCTATCTACTGGGAGACTGCCCTTCCCTGACACCAGCTGCAACTAATTATTATTTCAGCGAGGCAGTTTAACAACTGCCTGATCATTACCTGGTGGTCGCCTGACATATCTGGGGACTGGGGCGCTCTCATGTCTTGCTCATGTCTGCCTAGCTACCTAAAAATCTCAGCACTTTGGGAGGTTGAGTCCAGAGGATCACTTGAGCCCAGGAGTTCAAGACCAGTCTGGGCAACATAGTGAGACCCTATCTCTAAAAAAACAAAAAAAAATTTTTTTTTAATTTGCTGGACACTGTTGCATATACCTGTGGTCCCGGCTACTTGGGAGGCTGAGGTAGGAGGATTGCTTGAGCCTGGGAGGTGGAGGCTACAGTGAGTCTGATTGCACCACTGCACTCTAGCCTGGTTGACAGAATGAGACCCTGTCTCAGAGGAGAGGGCAGGGAAAGTCAGGGAGCTGCATCCTGTCGTGGTGGAACTGACATCAGCTTCTATATTACACAATCTGGCAAGTGGTATAGGGCTGCGAAGGAATTTCCCCTTGACTCTCACAAACCTGGGAAGGCAAAGTATAGCCTTGTGCCTCCATACATGGTGCATGGTAATGAGGCTGCCCCAGCATTGATAATTATCCAGAAACCCTGGGTAGCTCTTGGGTTTTCTCAATCCATCCTACGCCTTCAGGTAAATCTGTTTAAGAAAAAACTTGCAGCTGGGCATGGTGGCTCACACTCTAATCCCAGCACTTTGGGAGGCAAAGTCAGGAAGATTGCTTAAGCCCAGAAATTTGAGACCAGCCTAGGAAAAACAGTGAGACCCATTTCTTTTCTTTTCTTTTTTTTTTTTTGAGACGGAGTTTCGCTCTTGTTACCCAGGCTGGAGTGCAATGGCGCGGTCTCGGCTCATCGCAACCTCCACCTCCTGGGTTCAGGCAATTCTCCTGCCTCAGCCTCCTGAGTAGCTGGGATTACAGGCACGCGCCGCCGTGCCCAGCTAATTTTTTGTATTTTTAGTAGAAACGGGGTTTCACCATGTTGACCAGGATGGTCTCGATCTCTTGACCTCGTGATCCACCCGCCTCGGCCTCCCAAAGTGCTGGGATTACAGGCTTGAGCCACCGCGCCCGGCCCAGTGAGACCCATTTCTACAAAAATATTTAAAAATTAGCCAGGCATGGTGGTGTGTGCCTGAGGTGGGAGAATTGCTTGAGCCTGGGAAGTTGAGGCTGCAGTGAGCTGTGATTGTTCCACTGCATGCCAGCCTGGGTGATAGAATGAGACCTTGTCTAAAAAAAAAAAAAAAAATCTTGCATTCAACCTGTCCTCCAATTTAACCACTAGGGGAAAAGAGGTGAAAATAAAAGGTAAGATTCTCAACTAATCTTTGTTTTCATTCCTTTTTCTTGGTGGCACAATTTTCCTGAAAGATTAAACACCTTCTTGAAGCATGGGTCAGAATGTCTCCCTTTCTTCCATGGGTCTTACAGTTTAGGCTTAGATATTCCATAACAACCATCCCAGTGATGAGGGCGGCAACAGCACCACAGGAGCAGCAGCCACTGTTTTCGTGGACTGTTTTCTGGGCACTGCACTAATCATTTTGCCTGCATTACCTCAAGCAGTACCCCTATGTGATACATATTTTTATATATCCACTTTACAGATGAATAACCAACTCAAGGAGATGAGGACATTGGCCAAAGCCACACAACTAGTAAGTGACAGAGGTGTGGGATGAAGCCAGCTGTGGCTGGCTCTGAGCTCCTCTAAACCCCTCCTGAACTCTGATGATTCTGCAGCATAGACTCTAAAACTTATACTGATGGTTTTATGTTTCTTCAAATATTTGAGTTGACCGAATAAATTTATGTGCATAGCATAGTCATGCACAATGATAAGAAAATATATAACAACTTGAAAAAATATGTCCTTGGATTCTTCTAATTAAAAAAATAATTCACCAGGCATGGTGGCTCACACCTATAATCTCAGCACTGTGGGAGGCCAAGGCAGGTGGATCACTTGAGCGCAGGGGTTTGAGACTACCCTGGATACCAGATTGAGACCTTATCTCTACAAATAATTTAAAAATTAGCTGGGCCTGGTGGTGTGCTCCTGTAGTCCACCCAAGTCCCATTTGGGTGGCTGAGGTGAGAGGATTGCTTAAGCCTAGGAGGTTGAGGTTACAGTGAGCACTGATCATGCCATTGTATTCCAGCCTGGGGTGAGACATAGCAAGATGCTGTCTCAAAAAAAAAAGAAAGAAAAGAAAAGAAAAAATCCAGCCAACCAATCCAATCCACAGAAAAAAACCTCTGAGGGGGCCGAATGCAGTGACTCATGCCTGTAATTCCATCACTTTGGGAGGCCGAGGTGGATGGATCACCTGAGGTCAGGAGTTCGACACCAGCCTGGCCAACATGGCAAAACCCCATCTCTACTACAAATAGAGAAATTAGCCAGGCATGGTGTTGCACAGCTGTAATCTCAGCTACTGGGGAGGCTGAGGCAGGAGAATCGATTGAACCCAGAAAGAGGAGGTTGAAGTGAGCCAAGATCCTGCCACTGTACTACAGCCTGGGTAACAGAGTGAGACTGTCTCAGAACAACAACAAGAACAACAAAACAAAAACACAAAAAAACCTCTCAGGTTGGTTTTTGTCCTACGCAGAACTACATTCTAAATATTGGTGGAGCGGCAGGTTCTCGGATGTGTGAGTCATCTGGTGAGTCATTTTTCACCACCAATGTGTACTCCATTCCCAAATTCCATATCAGTTAGAGCTTAAAGCATGAACTTTGAAAGTCTTAAATTATTTACGATATGTCTCACTGGTCGATCAGATGAATATTTTTCCTAGCATTGGTTCTGACCAACCACTGCTTCAAATGTGTTAAATTTCCAGTGAGGTTGTTTATCCTCCTACTTCTACAAGTTCGTTTCTTCTAAGCTTTGTCTCTTACTAAACGCGTCAGGGTTTTTTGATTGTTTGCTTTGTCCTTTTCTCAGGTTTAATGATCCTTCCCTGCCAGCATGTATGAATCATGGGTAATGACAAGCCTGGAAGGTGTAGGAAATATGTTCTTGCTTTTATCCTGGTGTGGTTGTTACAACACTGATTGGGGGTCAGCCCTCCCACCTACACCCCCTTGCTCTAAGGATACCTGATTTTTTTGTTGAAATCATAAAATCTGCTGAGTTACGGGCATTAGATGGCAGGGGAAAGATTAAGCTCATTCTCCGCCTAAACATCTTTTTAATCAAGGGAGAGACGGTTCAGCCAGAAGGAAGTGGTGGTATTGATGAGCCAGTGGGGCCGCTGTTACTCCCACCCTTGGGAATCATAAATACCTCCAGGTTGCCAACACTCCCGACTCATCTTTATCTCTTTGAAATTGGTATCCTGGTTCCAGATACCTGCTACCATTCATGACTGGCTCAGAATTCTCAGAGGATCGGATCACAAAATTTGCCCTCAGGCGAGCCCTAGCCAGCAGTTATGGCAGTTGGGGCAAAAAAGTATAAAACCTTCTCAAGTTAGTTTTGCAATTTTGGGCTGGGCACAGTAGCTTATGCCTGTAATCTCACCACTTTGTAAGGCCAAGGCAGGAGAATTCCTTGAGCTCAGGAATTTGAGACCAGACTGGGCAACATAGTGAGACCTTTTCTCTATTTATATATTTAAAATATAATTAAAAATAAAGGCAATTTTATAATTTTAACTAATCATTCTTACTGAATAGGTGCTGACATTTATACAATCACTATTTAAAGTGGTGTGCTTGCTACCTGTAGGGGGCCTGGGACAAAGCTTTGTCACCCCGCCATTTCTGTGTGTCCCTGTGCTGGCCTCTGATGTGCAGCTTCAGTCTCCCTTAGCAACCAGGATTGGTTACTCCCATACCCAAGGAGTGCTGTCTTCAGCAGCCTTTGCCATCAGTCCCTTCAGAGCAACCTCAGCTGAGGAGAGCCTCATTTCCCCGGACGGTGCTCCCATCCTAACAAGGTGCATATCTGACTAATGGACCCCAGGGTATAAAGGCCTCCTCTCTTTTTTAAAAAAAATTATTCATTATACTTTAAGTTCTGAAGTACATGTCCAGAACGTGCAGGTTTGTAACATAGGTATACACATGCCATGGTGGTTTGCCGCATCCATCACCCTGTCATTTACATTAGGTATTTCTCCTAATGCTATCCATCTCTGATCTCCCCGCCCCCTGCTATTTCTCCCCTAGGACCCCGCCCTCTACAGGCCCTGGTGTGTGATGTTCCCCTCTCTGTGTCCATGTGTTCTCATTGTTCAACACCCACTTATGAATGAGAATGTGCCGTGTTTGATTTTCTGTTCTTGTGTTAGTTTGCTGAGAATGATGGTTTCCATCTTCATCCATGTCCCTGAAAAGGACATGAACACATCCTTTTTTATGGCTGCATAGTATTCCCTGGTGTATACGTGAAAGGTCTCCTCTCTTGCTCCAACTTGGGACTACTTTGAATGTCCATGATAGCTCTAGAGCTCCTGTGGTTGTGGTGTTGGGCATTAGCTGAGACTGCCAGTGGGACGACACTGCAACCTGACTTCTCCCTTTGCTTCATCCTGCTTCTGTGATCTACCTCTAAGACACTCACTAATAAACATCCAGACAACCCCCTACAACAGTCCCCAAGCACCAAGCTCTTCCCTCATACATAAGAGGGTAGCACTGCTGAATGGAGCCAGGCAGACTATCAGTTCCATGATTAGATATCAATCAGGAAAAATGTACATCAGTGATGAAATGACATGTGTGGCTTCACCTTCTCAGCAATCATTCCCTTCTTCTGGTAGCAGATCCCATGTGTTCTTTAGAGACTCACCTAGTGCCCTTCCCATGCATGTGCTCCAGGTGGGTTGATTTTACCCCAGGCTCCAGGGATGGGCGTGTCACCCAGGGCTCTGTGTAGAGCATCTATCCACTTTGTCTGGCCACAGTGATTGACTCTGGAATGGACATGAGAGCCAGGGTGGCCTAATGAGACTCAATTCCAGGACTTTGCTTTTGGTGTGGAAGATGACTCACGTGTTCACCCCGTGCTGGAGGAGGTGAGCCAGAAGCTGCTGGATGGCTCAAGGAAAGCCTGCCTGAGACTAAAGATGGAAGAACGAAGCGGGGCGTGGTGGCTCACACCTGTAATCTTAGCACTTTGGGAAGCTGAGGTGGGTGGATTACTTGATCCCAGGAGTTCAAGATCAACTTGGGCAACTTGGCAAAATTCCATCTCTATAAAAAATACAAAAATTTGCCAGGCATGGTGGCTCATGCCTATAGTCCCAGCTTCTCAGGACATCCGGGCTGGCCTCAAACTCCTACACTCAAGTGATCTTCCAGCCTCAGCCTCCAAAAGTGCTGGGATTACAGAGGTGAACCACCAAGGCTGGCCATTTCAGTCTTTTATTATGGTTATGTTAGACCTAAGGAAAGAGGATCTCTCCAACCTTCTCCATGCTTCCTTTTCACCTACTCCCAGGCAAGATTCTAATCATTCCCTGCCTTTCTGATTGTGGGTCATAAGACCTCCTACCCTCATGCCCTGGGGGAAGGGATGCTGACATACTGAAGCTGCCATAAAAACCCAACAGAACTGGGTTCAGCAAGTGTCTCTGTGGCAGATTCATGGAGGTCCCTGGAGTGGGGTGTGTCTAGGGAGGGCATGGAAGCTCTGCACCCCTTCCCTCATACCTCACTCTGTGCATCCTTTTATCTGTATCCTTTATAATAAACTGGTAAATGTGTTTCCCTGAAGTCTGTGAGCTGCTTCACAAAATTAATAGAACCCAAAGAGGGGGTTGTGGGAACCCGAACTTGAATTGGGTTGATCAGAAGTTTCAGAGACACTTCTTGAAACCGTGCAGTCTCAAGAACAGAGCCCTAAACCTGTGGGATCTGACACTATATCCAGGGGGATAGTATTAGAATTGAATTCGGGGACACCCAGCTGGTATCCACTGCTTGGTGGTGGGAAAAACTTCTCACATATTTGGTCACAGAATTCTTCTTTGTGTTAATGATTGATGTGCTTTGAAAGCAGAGGAAAAACATGGTTTTAAAGAGTTCTTCCCTAAACAGCAGAGAATGCAAAATATATAAATTTCGTAGCTTTTAGTACCATTCAAACAACAATGAAGTTGGGTAACATGGTAGTAAAACACCAAGAAGTCATTCTTGAAAACTGAACTTGATGGACTCTCTGTGTCTTCCTTCACATGCAACTATCTTTACCAAGATTTTCCCTCTTTGTCAATTAGTTTAAATTCTCAACTCCATTCTCTACTCTGCCCAAGGTCACTCTTTTTTATTTTTTTGGGATGGAGTCTCACTCTGTTGCCCAGGCTGGAGTGCTGTGGCATGATCTTGGCTCACTGCAACCACTGCCTCCTGGATTCAAGCAATTCTCCTTCTTCAGCCTCCCGAGTAGCTGGCATTACAGGTACGCTTCACTGTACCTGGCTAATTTAAAAAAAAATATTTTTGGCAGAGACAGGGTTTCACCATTTTGGCCAGGCTAGTCTTGAACTCCTGACCTCAAGTGATCTGCCTCCCTTGGCCTCCCAAAGTCCTGGGATTACAGACATGAGCCACCAGGCCCGGCCCCAAGGTCACTCATAGAAAACTGTTGTTAAAGTTTAAATGCTATAAAATCAATTCTAACTGGAACAACTGCTGTAAAAAAATTCCATTTTTAAAAGATATATAGTACGGCCTCTCAAATTTGTGTAACAAGGAAGAGAAACACATATGTAGCATTAAAGCTTAGGTTTAAACATTTTTTAACCCTGGATTTTCTGGATGTTGGAACAAGTTGCACACAAAAAAACTATTGTCTCTTACAGTTTTTTTTTTTTTTTTAAGACTGTTTTGCTCTGTCACCCAGGCTGGAATCATGGCTCACTGCAACCTCGACCTCCTAGGCTCAAGTGATACTCCCACCTCAGCCTTCCAAGTATCTGGGACCATAGAAATGCACCACCATGCCCCACTAATTTTTACAAAATATTTTATGGAGACGCCAGTCTCACCATGTTGCCTAGGCTGGACTGGAACTCCTGGGTTCAAGTGATTTTCCTGCACTGGCCTCCCAGAGTGCTGGGATTACAGGCATAGGCCACTGCGCCCAGCCCCTTATAGGTTTTCACTGTTAAAATAAACTTACATTTTTGTGCCTTTGTTATTAGTCAGGAATCTTCGTGGCAAGGAACAGAAATCAAACTCAAATTAGATTTAGGAAAAGAAGGAGGTAACTGAAAAAGGGAGAGCTCGACTGAGGTGATGAACATGTAGTCTCTCTGCATCCCTCATCTCTGCTTTTCTCAGCCTCACCCTGGTAGGGGTGAGGTCAATGCCTCATAATCACTTCAAGCTTATTTTGTATTCTCAGCAATCCTAGCAAGTGGTTCAGGGGTAAGAAAGATGTTTTCTCCTCATTAATCCAATCAAAGTCTCAGAATTGAGCTTCATGGCTTTAGTTGTACTCGATGCCTTCCTGTTTTAAATTCATTTAGTAACAGGGGACTATGATGCTCTGATTCTGTGTGGACCAGGTCAGCCCCTCTCCTGAAATAAAAGAATGGAGTCAGCACACCTGAACGACATGAACTGAATTCAGATATTGTCATTTCCAAAGGACAGTTGGGGATGCTATACCTGGAAGAAGAGGACTGAGAACTGGGCAGACCTCAAACAACGATGTCTAATACAGACTGCAAAATAAGTATTAGGAAAGTAAATCATGTTTTATTTTGTTTTTTTTTTAATTTGTAAAACTCCGGGGGAGAACAGGATCTCACTCTGGTCTCACACCCAGGCTGGAGTGCAGTGACACAGTTTTAGCTTGCTGCAGCCATGGTGTCTGGAGCTCAAGTGATCCTGTCTCCTCAGCCTTCCAAAGTGCTGGGATTACAGCCATGAGCCACCGTGCCTGGCCATCATGACTCCTTTTCAAGCTTATTTGTATTAATAAAGCCTATTTTATTCCACCAAGTACAAAACATATTTTGCTTGATTGGTCTTGAAAAGAGGAAGAAAAGGTAAAACATGGAATAAGCTAAGGGTGAAGTTGCTACTCAGAAATACAGCAGAAATTGGTTGAAAATTTGGTTCTGAGATTCATGGCAACCGAAGAGGAAAGCACCTTCAGTTAGGAGAGTCCCAGAGCTAAGATAAAAACGAAGAACTGACTTTGGAAAAGTACAATCTTTTTTTCTTCTTTCTTTTTCAAAGAGGAGGAGAGACAAAGGGAGGAAAGGGAAGAGGAGGAGAAAGAGGGGATGACGTAGTGAGAAGGAAGAAGAGGTGGAGAAGGGAAGGAGAGGGGAGGAGGAGAAAGGAGGAAGAGTGGAGGAGGAATGGATAAGGAGGCAAAGAAGGGAGGAGGGAAGGAGGAGAAAATAGGAGTAGAGAGAAGGTAAGGAGGAGGGGAGGAAGGAGGAGAGAAGAGGAGGTGGACCAGCTATAGGAAGCAAGGGGAAATAAGGAGGAAGAAGAGGAGTAGAAAGGAAGGGAGAAGGAAAAAGAGGAATAAGAAGAGAAGAGGAGGAGGAGGAGCCAGAGAGCGGAGGTAAGGAGAAAGAAGAGGAGAGAGAAGGAGGAGGAATAGGGGCAAGGGGAGATGAGGAGGAGGAAGAGGTGGATGAGGAGGGGAAGAGAAAGGAGGGAAGGGGAATGAGAGACTAAGGAGCACAATCTTTTTTGGCACTGAAGCCAAGGAGAAAAAAACCACAACCCTCATGCTTAGTGTACCATATTACTCTATGATACAATGGATATCTTAGGTTGAATTTCCTGGAAGTGGAGTCCAAAATAGGGTTCTTTCACAAATAATTAAGTGAGGGAGAGGTCTCAGGAGAAAGATGGAAGGAAATGAGAAAAGCAGGATGAAGCAGAGGAAGAATCCCAGCAAAGATGTGGTTTCAGCTGATGACAACCTGGTTACATGAGGATGGCTCTGAAGTCTGAAGGGGACCATGAAGTCGTCCTATCGTGAGGCAAGAAGGCTGGGCTTTTGTACCTTTATACACCAGAGTAGGGTCTGGTATATCATTTTCCAAACATCTACTGATGACAAGGCTCCTGTGAGTTGAGAGCAGTTTTCTGGAGAAGAGTTACAACTTTGAGCTATTACCAGCCGATGTGCATGGTTGCTGTGGATGGGCAGAAGTGGTGGCTGCATTCGCCTGGTCAAGGGTTGTGGGTAGGGTACCAACAGTGTCTTCTAGAGCGAACAACATCCCATTGATATCCCTGACAAATGTATAGGGAGAATAACTGCTTCTTGAAAGGTCTTTCTAGGCAAGGCAGGAGCATGGAGCAAGCACAACTCACCAAAAGCAATTCTATTAAGTGCCCAGACAATGTCTCAGACGAGACTTATTTTGACTCAGAGAAATAATTTAGAATATCTTAAAAATAGATGGGCTGTTCACACTTTAGATAAGCTTTCTCGAACACTAAATCTTACGTCTAAGCTTTCAATAAGAAATGAGTCACTGAGAGCTTGTCAAGAACTTCAGTTGCACCTATTCCACAATGCAGGCAAGGGTAAATCCATAGGCTTTGGCAGTAAAGCCAAGGGTATTCATTTATTACTTCTATGTCATTTACTTTGTGCCAGGTACTAGTCTAAGTATTTTGTAAATATTAACCCATTTAATCATCATAACTTTGTGGTGGATTTAGCCATTATTCTCATTTTGTAGATGAGGAAATTGAGTCACAGAATTTAAGTAAATAGCTCAAGGCATATAGTTAATAAATGGCTTAGGTCATTTACAAAATAAAGTGAAATACAATTATGACTGTTAAGATGCTTAATTAGGAGTAAAGTTAATTTAATTTTACATTTCTAGTTCAATTTCAAACTGACCCATCAGAACCACATGGAAATGCTAAGAGACTTCTGAGAACACTGAAGCCATAGCCTGCAAGAAGTAGAATCAAATTAGTGGATTAATGCCTTTTGCTCACCTTGGTGATAACAATTTTTGTGATTGAAGTTATAGGAAACTCTCAATTAAGTGAGCAATGGGAGGTCATAGATAAACTCAAATTACAATTAGAACAAATTTATGGAAATCTTTTTTGAGTTACAGAGCCATATGAGAGCTTAATGAAAGCAATGGACCTTCTTTCTAGAAAATGCACATAAAGATTCAAAAATGACTCTTTTCCATATAGTGTCAGGGGATTCATGGACCCTTTGAAGCCTCTGAGACATTTGAGAGTCCTTAAAATTGAAATCTTAGCTTTGTTGGTGACCTCAAGGAGTTCCGAGACAAGACAAGATGTATATGACATTCCCCTTCAGAGAAGCCCCAGGAAACTTGTATATGTCTTTGGTGAACTCTTGATTTATTGAGCTATTGGAGCTTTTGGCACCACATGTGATGTTGGTCCTTGGAACATTCATTTCATTCTCCAGGGGAGTAGTTAATCTCATGATTGCCTATCCTTTCTTACCATACTTAAAAGTCTCCTGTGTCAAGGACAAAGCTTGCTCATCTTTGTAGACTCGATAAGTGTTTATTAGGATACCTCACAGAGTAGGTGATGAGGAATGGAAGTAGGACATTTTGATGCAGACATTTTGAAATGGGGAACATCTGAATATATCAAAATTTGAAAGTGACCCTTTTTATGATTAACACATGAAGCAAATATTACGGGCTTTCACTCACTCATCCAAATTTTCAGGTCTTGCTTCATTCCCTAGGGAGCAAGTATCTGTTATGCACAATTCTTGATAAGTAAAAATACTCTAAAAGTTAAATGCTTGATATCATCAATACACTTGCGTCCAGATCAACAGAAGAACATGTATTTATTTGTGAATTAACTAATTAACTCTAGGCGTGATACTCATTCTATTTATTTAGATGTTCCAATTTCTCTAATTGCCTTCCCAAGCTCGGATTGACTTAGTACCTCACATTTCCCACTCTCCAGGTACAACCTACCAGTACTGGTCAAGACATGGTTAAAAAGCAGCACCAGGTGGTCAATTAAGTTTCAGTTATCATCGAGGAGGTGTTTACAAGCACAAGGTACTGGTACTATTACTATTACAAGAGTTTATTGAAAATGTACTACAGTATGAACCATCATTTTATTTAGCTTTTCCAATAAGCCCATGAGATAGGTCAGTGGATATTTAACTTTATTAGAAACTTTCCATTTTCCAAAGTATTTCAAGTATTTTACACTCCCATCAACAATGTATGAGAATTCCAGCTCCTCCACATTCTTGCCAACCCTTGGCATTATCAATCTTTAACATTTCAGCCTTTCTGGTGAGAGTACTGACTGGTGACCTTAAATGTGCATTTTTCTGTTTATTAAATTTATTGGACATCTTTTCTGATGCTTATTTGCCATTCAGATATATATATATATATATATATATATATATATATATAGCACCAGTGTGTGGCCTAGATTTTGGCACATTATTTTATTTATTGTTTGTTTTCTTTTTCTTGATTTGTAGGAGTTATTTATATATTCTGGATATGAGCCCATTTTTAGATATTTATATTGCAAATAGTTTTGCCCTGTCTTAGCTCAGGTTGCTATAACAAGGTACCATAGACTGGATTGGGGACTGAGAAGTCTAAGATCAAGGTGAAAGAAGATTCAGCTCCTAGTGCAGGCCTATTTCCTGGCTTATAGACAGCTGCCTTCTCATTGTGTGCTCACATGGCCTTTTCTTTGTGTTTGTACTTGGAGCAATGTATATATATATATATATACATACATATACATATATATAATGATATACATATATCATTATAAAATATCAATATATAGATATAGAAAAATATATAAATACGTTGATATATAAAAATATATATATATAAGAAATATATAAAAGATAGAGAACTCTTATCTCTCTCTCTTTTTTTTAAGAGATAGGATCTCACTCTGTCACCCAGGCTGGAGTGCAGTGGCATGATTGAACTCCTGGGCTCAAGTGATCCTCTGCCTCAAACTTCTGAGTAGCTGGGACTACAGGTGTGTTCCACCATGCCGAGGTAATTGTTTATATTTTCTTAAAGATGTGGTCTTGCTCAGTTGCCCAAGCTAGTCTGAAACTTTTGGCCTCAAGTGATCCTCTGTGTTAGCCTCCCAAGTTACTGAGATTACAAGAGCAAACCACCCTGCCAACTTTTTCTTTTCTTCTAAGGGTACTAATCCCGTTATCAGGACTCGACCCTCATGACGTCATTTAAACTTAATTACTTCTCATAGGCCCCAACTCCAAACCAACCATCACATTAGAGGTTGAGGCTTCAACATAAAAATTTGGAGGAAAGCAAACAGTCTATGAGGCTTGCCATTTCATTTCTTAATGGTGTCATTTGATTAGAGAGTTTTAATTTTGATGAAATCCAATATACATATGTCTTGTCTGAGTTTATCTTTGTCTGCCCCAGAGTTGCATAGACAGTCTCCTATGCTTTGTTTTGGAAACGTTAGAGTTTTACCTTTTAACTTTAGATCTGTGATGCATCTCAATTTAATTTTTGGTACAATGGCAGGTAGGCATCAGAGACTCACTTATTTTTCATATGGATATTCACTTGCTCCAAGTACTCCTTCCTTAACCTATTGCTTTGTATTGACACCTTTGTCAAATATCAAGTGATAGTCTATCTGAACTTTCTTTTCTATTTCATTGATTGGTTGATTTCTCTGTACTCCAATAATAAACTGTTGAGTTACTGGAGCTTTAAAGTCAATCTCGAACTGCTCGAGTTTTGTCCTTCTTTAAAATGGCCTTAGGTATTCTAGGTTTTGGCTTTTCATTGCCATACAAATTTTAGAATCAGCTTATCAATTAATACAAAAGAGCCTACCAGTGTTTTGATGTAGATTTTGTTGAGTCCATAAATCAATTTGTAGAAAGTTGGTATCTTTTTTATTTTTTATTTGAAAAATATTTTTGCAGGTGGAGTAGCTTACACATATAATTCTAGCACTTTGTTATTTTGTAGAGGTGGGGTCTTGTTCTGTTGTCCAGGCAGCTCTTGAACTCCTCTCTTCAAGTGATTTTCCTGCCTTGGCCTGCCAAACTGCTGGGATTACAGGCATGAGCTATCACACCTGAGAGTTTGTATCTTAACAATATCAGGGACTAGGCTGCCTCCTTGTGGGGCGGGGAAGCCATAAAAAAAAGGCAGCAGCACAACAGATACTCATAAATAAAGCCCTAACTCCCCAGGACAGAGCACCTGGGGAAAAAAAGGCTGTTTATGACTTCTGCTGCAGCAGACTTAAACGTACCTGCCTAGCAGCTCTGAATGAACAACGGAGCTCACAGCTCACACTTGAGCTCCATAAAAAACAGGCTGTCTCCCCAAGCAGCTCCCTGACCCCCATATATCTAAAAAGTCACCTAACAAAAGACTGATCAGACTGACATTTGGTGGGCATCATTCTGGGACAAAGATAGCAGAAGAAGAAACTGGTAGCAACCCTTACTGTTCTGCAGCTGCTTCAGGCAAGCAGGGCCTGGAGTGGACCTCAGCAGTCCTACAGCAGAGGGGTCAGACTGTTAGAAGGAAAACTAAGAAGCAGAAATAACTTCATCATCAACAAGACATCCACTCAGAGACCCAATCTGAAAATCAGCAACTACATAGACGACAGGTGGATAAATCCACAAAGATGGGAAGAAACCAGTGCAAAAAGGAGGAAAACACCCAAAACAAGAACACCGCTCCTCCTACAAGGGATCACAACTCCTCACCAGCAAGGGAACAAAGCTGGATGGAGAATGAGTGTGATGAAATGACAGAATCAGAATTCAGAAGGTGGGTAATGAGAAACTTCTGTAAGCTAAAAAAAACACGTTCTACCTCAATGCAAAGAAACTAAGAACCTTGAAAAAATATTTGATGAAATGATAACAAGAATGGACAACAAGAATGGAATATGAGTGAATTGATGGAGCTGAAAAACACAACACAAGAACTTCGCAAAGCATGTACAAGTTTCAATAGCTGACTTGACCAAGCAGAAGAAAGGATATCAGAGGTCAAAGATCAACTCAATGAAATAAAATGAGAAACCAAGATTAGAGAAAAAGCACAAAAAGGAATGAACAAAGTCTCCAAGAAATGTGGGACTATGTGAAGAGACCTAATCTACATTTGATAGGTGTACCTGAATGTGACGAAGCGAATGAATACAAGCTGGAAAATACTCTTTGGGATATTATCCAGGAAAACTTCTCCAACTTAGCAAAGCAGGCCAATATTCAAGTCCAGGAAATACAGAGAACACCACAAAGATATTCCTCAAGAAGAGAAACCTGAAGGCACATAATTGTCAGATTCACCAGGGTGGGAATGAAGGAGAAAATGCTTCATTTTCAGAGAGAAAGGTCGGGTTACCCACAAAGGGAAGCCCATCAGACTCACAGCTGATCTCTCAGCAGAAACTCTACAAGCCAGAAGAGAGTGGGGGCCAATATTCAACATCCTTAAAGAAAAGAACTTTCAACCCAGAATTTCATATCCAGCCAAACTAAGCTTCATAAGTGAAGGAAAAATAAAATCTTTTGCGAACAAGCAAGTACTCAGAGATTTTGTCACCACCAGGCCTGCATTACAAGAGCTCCTGAAAGAGGTACTACACATAGAAAGTAACAACTAGTACCAGCCACTTCAAAAACATACCAAATGCTAAAGAGCATTAACAAAATGAAGAATCTGCATCAACTAATGGGCAAAACAGCCAGCTAGAATAAAAATGGCAGTATCAAATTCAAACATAACATTATTAACCCTAAATGTAAATGGGCTAAATGCACCAATCAAAAGACACAGACTGGCAAATTGGATAAAAAACCAAAACCCATCGGTGTGCTGTATCCAGGAAACCCATCTCACATGCAAGGATACAAAAAGGCTCAAAATAAAGGGACAGAGGAAGACTAACCAAGCAAATGGAGAGCAAAAAAAAAAAAAAAAAGCGGGAGTTGCAATTCTCATCTCTGATAAAATAGACTTTAAAGCAACAAAGATCAAAAGAGACAAAGAAGGACATTACATAATGGTAATAGGATTGATACAATAAGAAGAGCTAATGATCCTAAATATATATGGACCCAATACAGGAGCACCCAGATATAAGGCAAATTCTTAATAACTTCTAAGAGACTTAGACTCCCACGCAATAATAGTGGGAGACTTTAACACTCCACTGTCAATTCTCAACAGATTAACCAGATAGAAAATAAACAAGGATATCCAGGACTTGAACTCAGACCTGGAACAAGCAAACCTGATAGACATTTACAGAACTCTCCAGCCCAAATCCACAGGATATACATTATTCTTAGCACCACATCACACCTACTCTAAAATTGACCGCATAATTGGAAGTAAATCACTCCTCGGCAAATGCAAAAGAATGGAAATTATAACAAACAGTCTCTCAGACCACAGCACAATCAAGATAGAACTCAGAATTCAGAAACTAACTCAGAACCACACAGCTTCATGGAAACTGAACAACTGGCTCTTGAATGTTGACTGGATAAACAATGAAATGATGGCAAAAATAAAGAAGTTCTTTGAAACCAACGAGAATGAAGACACAACATGCTAGAATCTCTGGGACACATTTAAAGCAGTCTCTAGAGGAAAATATATAGCAATAATTACCAACATGAGAAGAAAGGAGAGATCCAAAATTGACACCCTATCATCAAAATTGAAAGAGCTAGAGGAGCAAGATAAAAAAAACTCAACACCTAGCAGAAGACAAGAAATAACTAAGATCAGGGCAGAACTGAAGGAGATAGAGACACAAAAAACCCTTCAAAAAATTAATAAACTCAGGAGCTGGTTTTTTGAAAAGATCAACAAAATAGACAGACCACTAGCCAGATTAATAAAAAAGAAAAGAGAGAACAACCAAATAGGTGCAATAAAAAATGATAAAGGGGAAATCACCACAGATTCCAAAGAAATTCAAACCATCATCAGAGAATATTACAAACAATTTTATGCACATAAACTAGTAAACCTGTAAGAAATGGATAAATTCCTGGACACTTGCATCCTCCTAAGTCTAAACCAGGAAGAAGTCTAAACCATGAATAGACCAATAGCAAGATCTGAAATTGAGGCAGCAATTAGAAGCCTACCACACAAAAAAAGCCCAGGTCCAGATGGGTTCACAGCCGAATTCTGTTGTGTGTTCACAGACACACAAAGAGGAACTGTTACCATTCCTTCTGAAACTATTCCAAATATTCCAAAAAGAGGGAATCCTTCCCAAATCATTTTATGAGACCAACATCATCCTGATACCAAAACCCGGCAGATACTCAATAAGAAAAGAAAACTTCAGGCCAATATCCATGATGAACATAGATGCAAAAATCTTCAATAAAATATTGGCAAGCCGATTGCAACAGCACATCAAAAAGCTTATCCATCATTATCAAGTAGGATTCATCCAGGGGATGCAAGGCTGGTTCAACATATGCAAGTCTATAAATGTAATTTACCACTTAAACAGAACCAAAAACAAAAATCACATGATTATCTCAATTGACACAGAGAAGGCCTTTGAAAAAATTCAGCAGCGCTTTATGCTAAAACCCCTCAATAAACTCGGTATTGACAGAACGTATCTCAAAATAATAAAAGCTATTTACGACAAACCAACAACCAATATCATACTGAATGGGAAAAAACTGGAAGCATTCCCTTTGAAATCTGGCACTAGACAAGGATGCCCTCTCTCACCACTTCTATTCAATATAGTACTGGAAGTTCTAGCCAGAGCAATCAGGCAAGAAAAAGAAATAAAGGGTATTCAAATAGGAAAGGAGGAAGCCAAATTGTCTCTATTTGCAGACAACATAATAGTATATCTAGAAGACCCCATCGTCTCAGCCCAAAATCTCCTGAAACTGATAAGCAACTTCAGCAAAGTCTTAGGATACAAAATCGATGTGCAAAAATCACAAGCATTCCTATACACCAATAACAGACTTAAGGAGAGCCAAATCAAGAACAAGCTGTCATTCACAATTGCTACAAAGAGAATAAAATACCTAGGAATACAACTAACAAGGAATGTAAAGGACCTCTTGAA